CCCCAAAACCCCAAAACCCCAAAACCCCAGCTAAATAAAATCTGAAAATTGAAGGGGAATCATAATTTCAAATAATTTGCCAAAATTCTTTGGATAATTTTCTCAAATTATATCTACTTTACGAATTGATTAAAACACCTCAGTTATTATAATTAAGTTTACGTCAAGCCTTTGATCTACTTTTAAAAATATAATATCAATTTAAAAGTTCTAACAAGAAAAAAACCTGCATAATAAGCATGAAGAATCAAATATTCAGATTAGAAAAGGTATTAAGACCAAACAAATTCAAATCTTAAACAGACGACTCTCCAAACCTACTTATCCAAATAAAGACACTAAATTCCATTCATAATCGTCACTGTGATTCAGAGGAAGATTCTTTTGTCTAAAATCACTACAGTGACTCTAATTAAATGCAATGCTCAGTTACAGAGGAAAAGAATGATTTGAAAATAAAAGATAAGAAGTTTAACATGAAACACTCTATCTCTTAAATTGATCTTGACAATGACTTAGTTGACCTTAGAGTGGCTTTGGGTAAAAAAAGAATAAGAGGGATGCGCTAACAGCCTATTAAAAGATTTTCCGACTTAAGTGAAGGTAAATTTATTATTAAATTGATGTTTGTTAGAGAAGCCATAAAGTGAATTTTCCTCGACGTAAGAGGAGACACCTAACTAGAGTTCCTGTAGTATCTCAGATGACTCCTATTAGGGAGATTATAAAATGGATGATACAGAACCAACCCTTGAACCTACGTCTAGTGTCTAGACTAATCAGAGCTTTTACAATCAAATTTTTGATAAAGGGAATAACTTTTATACTAAGGAATACATCGACTCTATCATTCACATGACAAATCAATAAAAGTAAGATTAACTTTGAAAATAACTGAATAAACATTAAATTTGTAGTATGTGCGCTGTTCGAAATCTCCCTCTATATTAAATATCAAGCGCTCATTACTCGTAAAGAAACTTACTACCGTTAAAAAGTTAAAATGTAACAACCATTTATATTAAATTATCAATATATAGAAGCCTTATACATTGGTATTAGATTTGGACGAGACATTAATATATTGCAGACAACATCAATTTCCAGGATATTAAGAAATCATAAAAGTTACGCCATGTCAAAACATTAATATACCACAAATATAAGTAATATAAATTTATTATTATTAAAATTTATTCTAGTTATTCATTTCGTTTCGACCATACCTTTTGGAATTTTTATAGCAGGTATCCAAATATTTCGAGGTAGTAATTTTTACTGCAAGTGAGGTATGAATAATTTATAATTAATATTTTTAGAAGTCCTACGCCGACTTGATTCTAAATAAAATTGATCCGAACAACGAGTACATTACTCACCGATTATATCGTGACTCGTGTCTGCTAACTCCTGATCAATAATATATAAAAGATCTAAGTAGGCTCGGTCGTGATTTGTCTTCTACTATTTTGGTAGATAACTCTATCTTAGCGTTCGGCTACCAATTAAATAATGGGATTCCTATTCCCAGCTATTATGGATAGCCGTGGGACTAAGAGCTTTTCATTCTGGTAAGATTCACCGGATTCAATACCTATAGACTAAATTATTGGCGTAATTCTTAGAAGCAAAAGTTAATAATGGATCTGACTTTAGAGCATTGATTCAAGGTATGTTCTAGCTAGAATAGAGACTTGAAGCCTTTTCCTCTTAATAATTTCAACAACCATAATGCTCTTAAAATTAATAACTGGAGTAATCAAACTAATAGTTTAAGCAACAGATTCAATCAGACGATGTTATGTTATGATTGAAATGAGATAGAAATAATTCCCTATTATAAACTAATCCATTAACAACATTAATCAACAGCTTTAACAACACTCTAGATTCCTCAAAGGATTTCTACCAAAAAGAGAGTTTGCTGGTATGATGTATTGAATAAATATTTATTTATTCAGGAAATTATCTTTAATCAATTAACTATTTTGCTATTGAATTCTATTTAAGGGGTTTTGGGGTTTTGGGGTTTTGGGG